GCCGTTTGACGTGGAGACAGGCGGGGCGGCGGCGGCCGCCGCAGACGCGGCGACGTCACGGACAGCGGCGGTCACACATGACGGCCTCTGCTTATTGAAACGCGGGTTCCTGACGGCCAGGGTGGTGCCCAGCAGCCTGGAAGCCCTCAGCGAAGCTGGCCTTGGAGTGCGCGCGCTCGCAGTGGCGCCCAGCTCGCGGGGTGCACAAGCACACGCGTGCTTCATAGTGTTGTGCATGCCCCTGTACGCGACAAGGAGACTGGTGGCAGAGCCGTGGGTGCAGTGCTGCACGCGTGCACGAGCTGCGCGTGTGGGACAGGGGAATCGCTAATCAACGACTCCAAATACGTTTCTGATATGCCTTTGAAATTTCGAGCCCCATGCATCGAGGAGAACCGTTCGGCACCCGACCTGATCCAGAGTCCAAACCCCTCTCATCGCTCCGCGGCACCTGGCACAAGTTGCGGATGTTTGAGAATGCAATTGAGAAATCAAAGTGCAGCATAGTGGTGCTGTTCCACGTGTCAGAGCAGCACGCAGACAGCCGCCGCCAGAGACGGGCTGACATCACTCAAACGATGCCTTCTCCGACCAGCCCGTGAGCTGCACCTGGCTATGCGGCGATCTTTATCGCCCTTGCAGGCCTCGAACCACAATGAGGACTTCCACATGGGTGCACAAGAAACCGCGCCAATCATAGTGCCCTGTGATCCTGCGCTCCCCCTGACTCAGCAGGTGCAAGTAGGCTCTTTCGGCCACACCCACTTCAGACCCGTGGCCTCAGGACACTCTAGCACTGTTACTCTCAAGTGTATGCTCAAGCCCTTGTGCATGCTGGCCATGGTGGGCGAGCAACAGCCACTGCAAACATGGCGCGTCTGCGCCCAGAAAGCTGTGCCAATCGGCGGGCGTGCGCCAGCCGCCCTTACCCAGGCCAACCGGCTTCCAGGGCCCTGGCGGGTGCGTGCCTGCTGACGAGACCCCGCCCCTAGGAAGGCAAAGGGCGCAGCGGCAGGGGGGACGGGCGGCAGGGAGGGTCCCTCGCAATTGCGCTGGCGTGTGCCGCCTGGCTAGCCAGCTCGCGTGTCGTTCTGCTGTCCCGCAGTCTTGCCGCAGGCCGGCCGGCTTCGCAATTCAGAAGCCGTGGCCCGGGTGCAGAGGCAGCCCTACCAAAGCTAGTAAAAATGACGCTCATCACCAGATGTGCTCTTCGGGGTTGACCTGCCGCTTGGTTTAGACGCCTAGACGAGGCTGGGGATCAGCGC